TGGCCTTCGTTCCGGGGCAAACTCAGCTCAGCTGGTGAGCAAGGTGAGATGCCTGGAAGCGAGATGGCTCTCAGGAGCACAGAGCATCTGGAAAGCCACAAAATGAGAGCAAGCAGCACGGGGACACCCAAGCTGCTCGGTGTAGGATGGTGCCTCTGATGTTCCTCTAGGCAAAAACCACAGCCCTGCCAACAAAATTATGAAAATAGGTGTCAATATTGTGGCATCTGTGCAACGCCTGAGACAGGGATGAAAAGGCATGAAAAACACCAGGAGAGGTGGTGCGCTGCGGAAATCAGAACAGCTTTGTAATCACGTTATAGCTGATCGCCGCATGATTTGTGCCAGGCAAGAGCGCATTCAGCGTTGCCCTGACCTCACTCCAGGTGCTTCATTTACTTTGGGATGAAAGCAATGGCATAAAGCAAAGCCACATCAGATAGGGGCTTTCTCAAAAGATCAAGAATGATTTTCCTTCCCACCAGCATACTGTTTTCTGAGGTTAGGAAGAGTGCTTGCAGCAAGGAGTCGTGACTGCTCAGGATCCATCCAGCTGACCTCTGCCCTGGTTTTACACAGAGGACTTAGTTGCCTAACTCAGGGCTTCCGTACATTTTTGCTAGCAAGGCACCAAAATCCTTCTGTAGATGTAGCCCTTAACATCCTCATTAAAGAAGCAGCTGCTTTTTATGGCCTTATGTCAGCTTGGAATAATTTTTCTTAGTTATTGAAAACAGCTGCTCTTCTGATTAGCACACTGAACATTTATTTTCTCTTATACCAGTGTCAAACTGCTTCATTGCAACACAGACAGGAGACACTTAGTTTTACAAAATAAATCTGTGCTAAGTAGCAGCAAAATGGAACAAATATTTTGGCATTTTTTAGCAGCGGTACGCAATGAGACAAAACACGTCCTCAAGCAATTCATTCACCGTTGTTCTGACACGGCGTGAAAAATGAGGAAAGCTGTATAAAAACGAGGGCTTTTTTAATACTTCTAAAACTTCCTGCAGCAGAGTTTGCTTCAGTTAAAAAGTTGTCGCAGCAGAACGCTTCACCAAAGAACCCCCACAGCAGTGAGATTGCAAATGCTACTGCAAAAAAAAAAAAAAAAAAAAAA